TAATAATAATAATAATAATAATAATAATTCAATATGGGCAATTTGGAAATTGTATAAAAAAATTAAGGGCAAAAAGGTAATATGCTTGGTCAACATAAAAGGGCTTTTAAGTTAAAAAAAAAAAAGCTCCCCCCCTAGCTTTTAGCTTTTGGCTTAAAATAAGTCATTTTTGACTTAAAATAAGTCACTTTGATAATTGCCAAACACTCTAATAAGTCAAAAACTGGCTTTTAAGCCAGTTTGACCAGCTTATAAGCCCATCCAAACAGGCTCTAAGAATTTTTTTGCACTAGCTGCCACTTCAATGTCTCATTCATTTGGTATTACGTTGCGTCCTTGACTTCTCATTTATGATCTTTAGTCTTAACTAGTAAATTTGTCTATACTCTTCGCTATTACAAAAAATAATAATATATTTCACTATAGAACTCCTTGAAAAATCTTGAGATAAAAAAAAAAAGAGTTTAACTTTGCACCGTCGGTGTATACTTTTTTTACACTGACACATACTTTTAAGGGAAGTTTCTTTTTTATTATTAATATTTTTATTTTATAAAATATAAATATCAGATATAGTAATATAACGTAATTAGGATTCTACTTTTATTTTACCCATTAGTTTACACTCTGTTTGGATCATTGAGGAAAAGGGATTTCGATGATATTGATGTTGGTGTCGGAAAGGGAATTGGAGAAGAATGGACGATTTGCAGGAGTGGTGAAGATGGTAATGGAAATTTTGCGGCAGAGAAGAAAGCGAGCAAGGTCGAAGATAGGAATTGTGTGGCCCTTGGACATGAAAGGGAAAACAACAACATGGATAGTACGAGGAGAAGGAGAAGCCATCTCTCTGCACTCTGCTCCTTCGATTGTTGATATTTTTGAGAATTTGGGATTGTTCTCATAAATAGATCCAATGTTTGGTAAATAAGAAAATATTTCTCAAGAGCATTTATATGTTATCTAGCTAAATATTATGAAGACGGGATGAGATGTAGAATGGGGGTTCGGGAGATTGAGTGGGTGGTGACGACTGACGGGATAATAAATTTGAAATGTTATCTATGCAACTTGTTTTCTTTGCATGCATTTAGGAAAATCATTTTTCTTATCTTTAAGGAGCTTGTTTTCTTAGAAAGATATTTTTCAAATATTTTAATAACCAAAAAACATTTTACTTTGTATCTAACACACCCAAAGAATCTGACACTATTTAAAAATCACAAAATTTAGAAAGAAATAAAGATTTTAAGATTTATTATCAAAAATTTTAAATGATTGTATGATTATAAGTGAAGAATGAAACGAAAATTTTAACGTAAAATTGTTTCTAAATATAAATGATGTAATAAACTTTTAGAACATACTAAAAGGAAAAGTATGTTATTATCATATAAATTGAGACATAAAAATCAAGATACTCTATTTCTAATGGTCTCATCTTATATAATGGTAATTAAAGAAGGGAAAATTGTATGAAATAACAAATTATTAATTCAAATTAAATGTTATAGTCATAGTTGTCTTAACTAGTAAATTTGTCTATACTCTTCGCTATTACAAAAAATAATAATATATTTCACTATAGAACTCCTTGAAAAATCTTGAGATAAAAAAAAAAAGAGTTTAACTTTGCACCGTCGGTGTATACTTTTTTTACACTGACACATACTTTTAAGGGAAGTTTCTTTTTTATTATTAATATTTTTATTTTATAAAATATAAATATCAGATATAGTAATATAACGTAATTAGGATTCTACTTTTATTTTACCCATTAGTTTACACTCTGTTTGGATCATTGAGGAAAAGGGATTTCGATGATATTGATGTTGGTGTCGGAAAGGGAATTGGAGAAGAATGGACGATTTGCAGGAGTGGTGAAGATGGTAATGGAAATTTTGCGGCAGAGAAGAAAGCGAGCAAGGTCGAAGATAGGAATTGTGTGGCCCTTGGACATGAAAGGGAAAACAACAACATGGATAGTACGAGGAGAAGGAGAAGCCATCTCTCTGCACTCTGCTCCTTCGATTGTTGATATTTTTGAGAATTTGGGATTGTTCTCATAAATAGATCCAATGTTTGGTAAATAACAAAATATTTCTCAAGAGCATTTATATGTTATCTAGCTAAATATTATGAAGACGGGATGAGATGTAGAATGGGGGTTCGGGAGATTGAGTGGGTGGTGACGACTGACGGGATAATAAATTTGAAATGTTATCTATGCAACTTGTTTTCTTTGCATGCATTTAGGAAAATCATTTTTCTTATCTTTAAGGAGCTTGTTTTCTTAGAAAGATATTTTTCAAATATTTTAATAACCAAAAAACATTTTACTTTGTATCTAACACACCCAAAGAATCTGACACTATTTAAAAATCACAAAATTTAGAAAGAAATAAAGATTTTAAGATTTATTATCAAAAATTTTAAATGATTGTATGATATATACAAACTACAATATATAAATGAATTTATACAAAACTGAACAATTTGTATAAAATTAAATGTATCTAGCGAATTATACAAATCAAAAGCTTCATAGCAAACAAAAAATTTGCTATGGAGCGCAATTATGCAAACTATAGCTATAACATACAAATATGATTTTTATATTTGTTATATGTGAAAGTTGCTCATAAAAGAAAGATTATGTTTTTTGAAATATAATGTATGAAACAAGCTATATAGTCAAAAAAAAAGAAAGATAATATATTCTTCGAAATAAAAAATAATAATCATTTTCATGTAAAATGGAAAAGAGATCGTAAGAATATCCTTCAAAGACGAATTTAGACCACACTTCGTGTTAACATGAAATGTCAAGATCAATAATGCTAACTTTTTGGCAAATGAAAATGACATTTATGAAAAAAAATTTGCTTATATTGAGAGAATGCAATAAATCAAATGAAAATTTAGCTTTAAGCAAATTTAAGTAGGGTTGGTTATAAATTAGTTAATTCATTCACTTTTACTCGTCATATTTAAATTTTCATTATTATTAACATAATAATGATTGACATGAATATTTTACTACACTATTTCTATTAATTTATATTTAATATTAGATTTTGAAAAACAATTTGAGGAATAAATAACTAATGATGCAAGGATAAAATATGAAATTTTTAAATCTTTTTTCACACGTTAAAAGTAATAAATAAAAACAATTTTTTAGAAATAAGAAACAAATAAAAATAGACAGAGAAATCTTAAAACTTTCTAGTATGTCCATTGTTGATTGTACCAACAAAAAAACACGAAAAGGTCCATTTTCATTTAAGTAAAACTAAAACAAGTGAGATTCAATACATGGATCCATTTGATTATAGATGTTTTTTTGAAAAAATTAAAAATATTTTGGGGGGGAAATTTGACAAATATTGTTTAGCCATATAGCTTGTCATTATTTAGCAATATTTGAAACAAGTTATATAATCAAAAAGGATAATATAATCTTCGAAATAAAAATAAATTTCATTTTCATGTGAAATGAAAAGGAGATTTTAAGAATATCCCTCTAAAAGACGAATTTAGACCACACTACATGTTAGCTTGAAATGTCAAGACCAATAATGCTAACTTTTGACAAATGAAAATCACATTTATCAAAAAATTTACTTATATTGAGAGAATGCAATAAATCAAATGAAAATTTTATTTTAAACAAATTTAAGTAGGGTAGGTTATAAACTAGTTCATTCGTTCACTTTTTGATTATTTTACTACACTTTCCTATTAATTGATGTTTAATACTATTATATTTTAAAAAATGATTTGAGAAATAAATAACTAATGTATAAGGATAAAATTTGGAGAAAAAAATTATACTTTAATAATAATAAATAAAAATATTTTTTTTAAATAATAAACAGAAAAATCTTAAAACTTTCTTGTATGTTCATTGTACCTACCAAAAAAACACGGAAAGGTCCATTTTCATTTAAGTAAAACTAAAACAGGTGAGATTCAATACATGGATCCATTTGGTTATAAATATTTTTTTTAAAAATCAAAATATTTGGAGTAAAATTTGACAAATATTGTTTGTCAATATAACTTGTCATTATTTAGCAATATTTTAACAAACAATCAAAAATTTCTAAATACTAGAAAAAAATAGTAGTTGAGTCAATTTCTATTATTGGGAACTTTTAACAATTTAAAAATTATCTCAAACTTTTATATCTCATAAAAACACTGATTATTTATAGATTTAGACTGAATTTAAATGTCAGTTTATCGTATAAATTATACAATTATATACATATTTTATACAGTTTTATCCAAATTCGCTCTCCAAGTTACTTCTAATTATAAATAATAATAGTAGTTTTTCGCATATAATCAACAATTTTTTTCTTTTGTTTTCTTCCTCTTTTTCAATTTATATTAGTTGTATTCATTGTTATGATTCTTCATTGAGCATGTTCACTATTTAATGATAGTAATACAATTTTATAAATATTTGTAGTGGAACCGAGTTGAATTCATAAGGACCTATAAGCTAGAATTGGTGAAGGAGACTTGATTTAGTTGAAGTTATTAGGTCGAGTAAAATATTGGAGAGTTTTGTGTGTTAGAAAGAAGAATTTCATGTGTATTATGTGTAGTTTTGGCTCAGTTTGTGATTCTTTTGCCCCCTTTCTATGGCCTAGTTCTCATCCCCTTCTAGTTAGCTTCTTCCTCAGTTATTCTAAAATTTTCCCATTAATATTGTTCACTATTACTTTGTAGCTCTAATTCTTAGTTGTACTTTGGATTCAGTGAGTATTATATATATTAGTATTGTGATAAGAAATTCGAGTTATTACGATATTTTTAATAGTTTTAAATTTTATGGATATAAATCATATTTATTTATTTTTTTAAAAATTCTTCTCAAAATTATGATCAACTGCATAATAAAACTTCACTCAAAAATAACTTGTCACGAATATTTAAATATTAGCTTAATTAATTATAAGCTATAAATGGAGAGGTCTATTTTCATTAAAGAAGACTAAGAGCCTATTTGGATGGGCTTTTAAGCTGGTCAAACTGACTTAAAAGCCAGTTTTTGACTTATTAAAGTGTTTGGCAATTATCAAAGTGACTTATTTTAAGTCAGAAATGACTTATTTTAAGCCAAAAGCTAAAAGCTAGGGGAGGGGAGCTTTTTTTTTTTAAACTTAAAAGCCCTTTTATGTTGACCAAGTATATTACCTTTTTGCCCTTAATTCTTTTATACATTTTCCAAATTGCCCATATTGAATTAACCCTAACATTTATTATTATTATTATTATTTTTATTTTTATTAATGTTATTATTGTTATTATTATTATTCTTATTGTTATTATTATATTATTATTATTCTTATTATTATTAT